CTGCTATTGGCTATTGCACATTGAAATAGCCAATAGCAATCTAGCTATTAGCTCCTATGGCGGGTTTTTTTCTTTTTCTGGCGCCCCCGATGTCAGAAAGAAAAAACCAGACAGCACGGAAAGATTTACTCTGCTATATAGATGTTTGTCTCCCGGGTGTCCGGGAGCCGTTATCTAATAGCGGGAGACTCCCGGAACATCCGGGATAGTTGAGATGTCTGTTTTACACATCCAGGAGCAGTGTCCATTGTAAGTGATGTAAACATTTGAAATAGCTTATAGAATTCGGACTTTATTGTCACGTGAAGTTGGAGATTTTTGGAACGATCCTTTGACCAGTACACAGAACATTCTACATTGACCCTTTCTCCAGAGTATTGCAGATCTCTGTATACACACGGCGCTCGTTTCCTGAGGAACGGTCTGATGTTTGGATTCACAGGCGGATCTTTGGCTCTGATATTGTCAGACTTGTGCCCGTACCTTGTGTGTGGGTGATACTAAATATCGCAGAGCCTGGGGAACAAGCGGCCACAACATCTGCATCAGTGAGCAGCAGATTTTTCCTGTGTGTGGAAACAACACGGGGGACATCAGAAATGAGTTTTTGGGAAACGTTGCAGTAATGACTCGAGGAAAATACACTGGAATTTCCCTTTTAAAAAATGACCTCTTTTTTAATTTGGGCCATACAGGATCTGTTGTAGCCTACAAATAGAATTCAAGTGTCCCTTCTGTACAAAACAGGAATTTACTACAGATGGTAGTCACCAAATCTTCATCCCCCTGCTCCTATAGTTGGTTAGATTCCTATCAATCAGAGTCTTAGCCCCCGGTCGCACTTGAGCATGAGCGCTTTCAGGTGTTTTTGGAGCATTTTTCTGTTTTCGAACTTCAGGTGTTTTTGTTTTGGCCGATGGAAAGCAGTATAATCAAATGTCATCATCCTTGTATCTGTCTCCTGGGTTTTCTGGGTGGCGTTGTAGAGTCTAGTCTTATCACAAGACTCTACAACACCAAAACTTCATGCCCAATTTCTTCCCAGGTTGCTTGACCCAGTTCCTGTAATGGGCATCACTCGGGTCGTAAATCCAGCTTTATCAAATCTCCTAATTTGGGAAATCTGCATTAAATCTGCATGCCCAATTTCTTTCCAGGTCCTCTACCAATTGCCCCAATTCCTGTAATGGGCATTACTGGGGTTGTAGATGTTGTTGTAGGCCCTCACCAGCCAGATGAAATGTCTAAATCCAGATCTATCAGATCTCCTAATTCAGGAAAACTTCATGCCCAATTTCTTGGTTCTTGTAGGCCCTCAGCCGGCAGATGAAATGTCTAAATCCAGCTGCATCAGATCTCCTAATTTTGGAAAGCCGCATGCCTAATTCGGGAAAACTTAATGCCCAATTTCTTCCTAGGTCCTCTACCACTTGCCACATTTCCTGTAATGGGCATCTCTGGGGTTGTAAAGGTTCTTGTAGGCCCTCACCAGGCAGATGAAATGTCTAAATCCAGATCTCCTAATTCGGGAAAACTTCATGCCCAATTTCTTCCTAGGTCCTCTACCACTTGCCACATTTCCTGTAATGGGCATCTCTGGGGTTGTAAAGGTTCTTGTAGGCCCTCACCAGGCAGATGAAATGTCTAAATCCAGATCTCCTAATTCGGGAAAACTTCATGCCCAATTTCTTCCTAGGTCCTCTACCACTTGCCACATTTCCTGTAATGGGCATCTCTGGGGTTGTAAAGGTTCTTGTAGGCCCTCACCAGGCAGATGAAATGTCTAAATCCAGCTGCATCAGATCTCCTAATTTTGGAAAGCCGCATGCCCAATTTCTTCCCAGGTCCTCTACCAATTGCCATAATTCCTGTAATGGGAATCACTGGGGATGTAGAGGTTCCTGTAGGCCCTCACCAGGCAGATGAAATGTCTAAATCCAGATCTCCTAATTCGGGAAAACTTCATGCCCAATTTCTTCCCATGTCCTCTACTGCTTGCCCCAGTTCCGTTAATGGGCATCACTGGGGTTGTATAAGTTCTTGTAGGCCCTTTCCAGGCAGATGAATGTGTCTAAATCCAGCATAGACACTCCTAATCCTTAATTTTGTTCACAGGCCTGAGGTTGCTAGGAGAAGGAAACCAATTATCAGCCACAAAGACGCATGAAAAATGCACTAAAAACTCTTGTGTTGCACATTTTAAGGAGCTCTTGTTAGGGATGCACCAATACCGATACTAGTATGCCGATGCCGAGTATTTGGGCGAGTACTTGTCCAAATGCTCAGATGTCTAGCCTGATACTTGACATTCCGGTATGAAGAAGCCGGGCAGCGAGTCATTACACGCTGTCCGGCTTCCTGATTGGCCGGGAAGCCGGCTCCATGCCCAATCAGGAAGCCAGGCAGCGTGTAATGACTCGCTCCCCGCCTTCCTGATTGGTCGGAAAGCTGGCCAATCAGGAAGCCGGACGGTGAGTCATTACACGCCCCCTGGCTTCTTGATTGGCCAGGAAGCCAGCTCCATGCTTTCAAAATGGCTTCCTTGCTAATTGGGAAGCTTGGTGCCGAGTCTTTACACTCTGCACGGCTTCCAGGCTAATCAGGAAGCCAGGTGTTGAGTCATTACACACCGCCTGGCTTCCTTAATGGGACTTCTGATATCGGCGAGTACTGGAAAAAAAATATCGGTACTTGATACCAAAAAAACGTATCAGTGCATCCCTAGCTCCTGTTAAAATCTACGAGGCTAAAAACATACCATTCTGTTTGAAAAAAAGCTCATGTACTATTACACGCAACAAGCATGGTGTAAATGGGAACCATTGAATAGAATGAGAATTTTCATGTTGAGGGTTGTTGTGTTTTAAGAAGCGCCCAATACACTGCCCAGGTGTAGACAAAGGCTTAAGTTAAATATTATTCAACCCATTGTATGTAAAGTAAACTATACATTCGGTTGCAGTTTTATTGAACCAGGTGTTCTAGTTAACTTTGCTATGTATACATTAGAATGTCTTACAACTGTGTATTCTTAACACTTTTGGGGCAGTCCTTACATCCAAAGGAATGTTGGCCATGGGGTATTCTGTGACTCTGGAATTGTCCAACACATGGTTATGTCTCTGCTATAGAGAAGTCCTCACATCTAAAGAAATGCTGCCACTGCAATATTTTTTACCATTATTAAAGAAGCAGCTGTTTAGTGCTCCTTGGTGCTCTGCCTGGACTGTGATCTTCACCTTTAGTAGGGAACATATGACATATGCTTGTTGTTGGTCACATGACCTGGTGCCGACCATCCCTTCTAAATTTTGGCTGCAGACTAGCTAAATAACAATCAATCTTGCCTTATAGTGGTCGGGAACTGTTTTTTTTTTGTTTTACTGAGGGCAGTATCTACATGGAGTTTATATGTTCGCTGTGTGTGGGATTTCTTGGGTTGTCTGATTTCCTCCCACAACCCAAACACATACTAGAAGGTTAAATGGCTTCCTCTTAAAAAAACTGGCCACACGGTGTGTTAGACTTTGAGCACCTTCATGAAGCAGTAGAGGATATATATGGTTCAGCTTGTTCTGGGTCAGTAGGAAAGTATTGAAGCCCTCTAGAGCAGCAGTTCTCAACCTTGTCACTCCAAAGGAACCCCTGAAATAATTTTAAGGTAAGTAAATTGTAGATATTATCATAAAACAGTGCTCTATATAATCATTCAAATAAAAACAAATAATAATACTGACTAGAAAACAAACTGTGAAAATTGTTATGTCCCAATACATGGGTGGTTAGTGGAGAAACTGTTGGTGTTCAATGGAGAAATTCCCCTTACGTTGGATGACAATGGAGAAATTCCCCCTACATTGGTGGTCAGTGTAGAAATTCCCTCTACATTGGTGGTCAGTGTAGAAATTCCCTCTACATTGGTGGTCAGTGTAGAAATTCCCCCTCATTGGTGGTCAGTGTAGAAATTCACCCACATTGGTGGTCAGTGTAAAAATTCCACCTTACATTTGTGGCCAGTATAGAAATGCCCTCTACATTGGTGGTCATTAGATAAATTCCCCCTACATTGGTGGTCATTAGATACATTCCCCCTACATTGGTGGTCATTAGATACATTCCCCCTACATTGGTGGTCATTAGATACATTCCCCCTACATTGGTGGTCAGCGGAAAAATCCCCCCTCCATTGGTGGTCAGTGTAGAAATTCCACCTTACATTGGTGGTCAGCGGAAAAATCCCCCCTCCATTGGTGGTCAGTGTAGAAATTCCACCTTACATTGGTGGTCAGTGGAAAAATCCCCCCTCCATTGGTGGTCAGTGTAGAAATTCCACCTTACATTGGTGGTCAGTGGAAAAATCCCCCCTCCATTGGTGGTCAGTGTAGAAATTCCCCGTACATTTGTGGTCAGTGGAAAAATCCCCCCTTACATTGGAGGTCAGTGGAGAAATGCCCCCTACATTAATGATCAGTGGAGAAGGGTCCACCTTACATTGGAGGTCAAAAGAAAAGGACTTCTTACATTTTTGGTCAGTAGGATTAGAAACTTCTCACATTGGTAAACAGTTTAACAAAGAAAATCCTTTACAATAGTGCTCGGTAAAGAAGCCCACTCCTCCTTATATTTATGGTCTGTGGACAAGGGCACTCATATTGGTGGACAGTTGGAAGAAGAATGTCCATTATATTAGATGTTACATTTATGGTTAGTCAAGGAACCTCTAACCTCTGGAGGAACCGTGGTTGAGAAAGATTGCTCTAAATCTAAAGGGTCGGCATGACAGGTGTCATGAGAGGTGTACTTTAATCTGTCCATTGCTGCATTACAATATCCTGGGGCTTGTAGTTCTCCAGGCGCAGATTCTTTCCATCTGTACTGTGTATGAAATGCTTGATGAACACAAGGCACTAACATTCTTCTTTCTTCTAGGACAGGACCTTCTGCTGCATACATCTATTTTGTTTGGCGTTTCCTGGATCGTCTTCAAGCCTCCATTAATGTGGCACTAGGAATTATTATTACTCATCTGTGATTCCATCAGGTATTGGGAAAAGTGCCTCCATACCGTGCGGAAATTATGGGGGAAACGGCCCCCCCACAAGCCCCAGCGGGAAGCCTCGGAATCGGTGTCTCTGGCGTCGGCCTGCTCGGAGGTGGAGCGGCTGCCCCTCGCCTGCACACTGCCATAGTGGAGCGTTTGCGGGCGCGGATCGCTGTGTGCCGCCAGCACCACCTGAACTGCGAGGGTCGCTATGAGCGCAGCAGGGTGGAGAACACGGATAGAGAGAGGGAGAATACCCTGCAACTGCTGACCTTGGTGCAACACGGCCAAGGGACCAGGAAGAACAGCAAGCACAACAAGAGCACCTGTGCTGCTCCCCCGGACTACCGCCTGCACCAGCAACAGCAGCAGCTGCTCTCGGAGAACGGCAGCGATATCGGTGGAGATCGGCACCACCAAACGTCTAATAATCTGGGACAAAGAAACCCGGCGCTGGTGGCTGTAAGTAGAGTCACGGTTGTCTCTTTATATTTCTAATTCTAGATTGATGAAATAAATATAATTATTTAGGTGGAAATTAAGGCAGAGAGCTAAAGTAACATTTAAATATGTGAGTGTGACGGGTCTTACCTGCCAAAAATTGGTAATTTGGTTCAATCTGATTTTCTAAACCAGACACCCTGTGCCAGGCCCATGACCACACTCTGCTCCACTGCAGTTAAAGCTTTACAGTGTGGTCATGCCTTCCGAGACTGGACTGGGGAGGAGCAACAACACCCTGGACTACAGTGCTCAGCCCTTCCTCTCCCAGTCTGAATCCTGTAGTTCACTGCACAGCAGGAAGCTGGTACAAAGACGGAGCTACTACTTAAAGCTGAACCCCAGACACACCTTCATTTAAATAACTTACTCAAAAGCCACAAAGCCGAATGCCTTTTCTAACGCACATGTAAAAGTAGCAATGATAGCATCACTGTGCTGCACATAGCCAGTGTAGAGAACAGAGCTGTGGCAGGGACCCAGCAAGCTCCACCCACTACAGGAGGGGTAGGCATACCCCAGCCCTCTAGATTTGGTGAAACTACAAATCCCACCATGCACCTGCCTCTGTGAGTCATCCCTATGGCTGTCAGAGTCTTGCAATGCCTCATGGGATTTGTAGTTGCACCACAGCTAAAGGTCTAGAGTTTGCCTACCCCTGCCCTACAGGGTGCCTGAAGGATCTGACTAGTGAAGTGAGCATACTCCACTTTTTTTAGTAAATTTAGTGCTAAGTTAATCAGGGTCACTGTGTCCATCACCCCTCCGGCATTCACTTGTAACACAAATAAGAGTTGTCAGTGGCCTAGGATGTGCACCGTGATCACGTCACATATTTGCTATTTGGCCTTCATTTCTTCAATTAGATAATGTGTATATATAATATACACATATACTGTATAATATACACATATACTGTATAATATACACAAATACAGTGAGGAAATGATTATTTGACCCCCTGCAGATTTTGTAACTTTGCCCACTTACAAAGAAATTAAGGGTCCATCATGTTTTATCATAGGTGTATTTTAAATGACAGAGACAGAATATCAACCAGAAATTCAGAATAAACACATGATACAAATGTTATAAATTGAGTTGCAGTTCAGTGAGTAAAATAAGTATTTGATCCCCAAGCAAAACATGACTTGGTGCTTGGTGGAGAAACCCTTGTTGGCAAGCACAGAGGTAAGACGGTTCTTAGGGTCATAGTCAGCATTTTTCTTCCTCCAAGCACGGTGAGTCGCGTTAATGCCAAAGAGCATAATTGTGGTCTCATCTGGCCGCAGCACTTTCTCCCAATCCTTCTCTGAATCATTTAGATGTTCATTGGCAAACTTCAGACAGGCCTGTACATGTGCCTTCTTGACGTGACCTTGCGAGCGCTGCAGGATCTCAATCCATGGTGGTGTATTGTGTTATCAATGGTTTGTTTGGCGACTGTGGTCCCAACTGCGTACTCGCCCAAATGCTCCCAATGCCTATCCCCGATATCAGGACTTCTGGTATCAGGAAGCCAGGCTACGAGTCATTACATGCCGCCCTGCTTCCTGATTGGCTGGGAAACCGACTCCATGCTCCCTCGTCACCAGGGAGCATGCAGCTGGCTTCCCGGCCAATCAGGAAGCCGGGGGGCGGCCGGCGGCAAATCACTACCCGACCCCAGGCTTCTTGATTGGCCGGAAAGCTGGCTCCATGATTCCTCGTCACCTAGTGACGAGGGAGCATAAAGGTGGCGTCCTGGCTAATCAGGAAGCCTGGTATCATGGAGTACCGGAAATAAATATCGGCACTTGTACTCAATACCGACAAACCGGTATTGGTGCATCCCTAGTATATATAATATGCATATATACTGTATAATATAGAATTAGCCCTATTTCTCTATTATTACCATTCCTTGCTTCTGGACTGCCCAGTGTTCTTTTTGTTTCTAAATATTGTGGGTTATCACTATATTTTGGTGCCAATTAAAAAAAAGAAAGCTATAAATATCTTCAAGCTGAACTCCAAGATATGAAATTTTTGATTAAATACAAGAGTCGTGTGTATTCCTCCTCGCATTGTGGTGAGCTGTGTGCATTGCTTCCAGATCTGTGCAGTCATCCAATGTGAAATTTGGAGCTTCCTGTAATAAAGACCGGTCACTGCTGATCTCTCTCCTTGTGCAAGGTGACTGGTCTTGTCTCCACCCCCTCCTGTAGTTTTCTGTAGTAGGTGGGGCCTGCTGGGCCCCTCCCACAGCTCTCCTCTCTGCACAGACTACGCACAGCACAGCGACGATGTCACAGCTACTTTTATATGGTCATATCTTGGTGTACAAAGACATTTGGTTCGCACAAAGTGGATTTCTATCCTTTGTGGCTATTGGAGAATATATTTAAATGAAAACATTTGTGCTCAGAATTCGGGTTTAATCCTGAAGCCTGACTTTGCTGTGGACGGACCTTTTAAGAAGCTAGTAATCATTTTCATCTGGTTTCTCGGGAGGCATCGGCAGGGCTGTCATATTCTCAACAACATCCAGAGTGTGTTGGGCATGGCTTGTGACTCATGTTGGCCGGCCCGGTATTTGTGATGTAAAAGGCTGAATAATGCGGAGTGAGGCTGTGATGACTGATTAGGCATAGATCTCCATGAGGTCACATTGAGCGGAGCTGCCACTCCGATGATGGACGCCCGGCCTCCACAGACATACCGGTAAACCCGGAGATGAACGCAGCTCATTCACCCTTGTTCTCTGTGCCAGCCTTCCCTGAGGCAGTCTGTTGCCTATGCTGCAGCCATGTTTCTTAGCACCGTGGGTTTAAAGGGGACTTAATAAACATGAAGTGTTTGCTTGGCTTTGTGTTACATGGCAAGGATTGCTGCTGTGCTTATCAAAGCTACATCCCTCAATGATACTGTGATCCATTTTATTTCAGGCTGTACAGGTCAGAGGTCGCTCTGCCTACAGAGTAGACCAGAGGGAAGGCAACCTTGGCATGCCAGCTGTTGTGGAACTACAAGTCCCATGAGGCATTTCAAGACTCTGACAGCCACAGGTATGACTCCCAGATGCATGATGGGATTTGTAGTAAAAGCACCGTTGGAAGCAGGGTTGCCCACCCCTGGAGTAGACAGTACATTACCTACAGTAGCAAGTTAGCTTTTTAGATTCCTGGAGTCAGTGGCGTCACAAGCGGGGGGTGCGACCCGCACCCTAGTGACACCATTGGAGGGGTAACACCAAAATGACTGACAGTCATTTTGGTGTCACCCCCTCTGAAAAGTCGGGCACCCAGTCATGGACTGGGAGCCTAACAGTCTCAGGAGAGAGGAGGGGACCCAGCGGCATAACTTATCCCACCAGTTGTACGTCCCCTCCTCTCTCTGCCGGCGACCATCACCAAGATGGCCGCCGGCAGGGATTCGTAAGTTTACCGAGCATGCAAGATGACGTCACGGCGGGGTGTCACCCAGTTTCCGGTCTGGGAGACACCCGGTCTTAGGACGCCCTTGCCTGGAGTTCCTCTGTTGCTCCAGTATTGTCGGGCTCAAGAAAAGCGTATGGGATTTCTTGTCTTAAGACCTTTGTCGGATTTAGCTTTGAGCAACAATACATCTAGGTGTGAATGGGAACTTGAACTGCATAGGGGTTGCAAAGCATGATGGGAGAGGTTACATATTATTTGTTACATAGTATTTGAGGTTGAATAAAGACATAAGTCCATCAAGTCCAACCTAGTAGATGTATTTTGGGGTAGATTTTCTCCAGCTAAGGTGCAGTTCTGAAATATTTTTCTTGCACTTGTTTGTGCAATTTGAGGGTGTCATTATTGAATTAGTGTATTTGCTAATGCCTGGAGTTTGGCATGGTGCTGATCGCATTAGCGTGTATTAAAGAAAACCAGACTAAAGCCTCTGCTTTTGGGGTGGAGTGCACAAAGACGGTGTGAAGGGTATAAAAGGCCATCTTTATTGTGGTGTGCCTAGAGCAGTATGATCTGTGTACACTGTACATCCCTCTGCCAGTAATAAGAGATGATGAGGGAATTGGAACTTACTAATTGTATGGAAATGTTTTTTTGTAGTGTGTGTATAAAGGATTAGGAAGGAGCAGCTTTTCTTTACACAGAGTAAAGCCGGGTACATTAACATACCATAATGTACTTATAGTTGATACTTAGCTATACAAAGAGATTAGTGTTCTCTCTCAAGCCGTCAGTATGGAAGAGCCATGTTAGGCTGGAGGCCTGAGAGAAGAATACGCTTTACTATTGCAAGGGCAAAATGTTTGGTTTGGGATTAGTTATAAGATTTCCTCGCACAGGTCTGCTCTGTCAGGTTTATGGTGTGAACGTTTAGAGTTCCATATTCACATGTTGCAATTAGAGATGTATAGCACTGATGGCAGACAGACGGGACCCGTGTAAATGGGAACCATTCCCTGGAACCCATAAAGAGTGTTGTAGGTAGGGCTGCAGCTAGTGTCGCAGGTCAGTCTCTCTCTCTCTCTCTCTCTCTCTCTCTCTCTCTCTCTCTCTCTCTCTCTCTCTCTCTCTCTCTCTCTCTCTCTCTTCCCATCCTTCCCATCTTGTCTTGAATTGTATTGTGATTGTAATGTCTTCCTTTATATTGTAAAGCGCTGCGCAAACTGTTGGCGCTATATAAATACTGTATAATAATAATTGTCCATACCGGACATTCCATCCCGGTACAGCTCGGTAAAGCTGAGCCTGATAAAACCATAGGCTTAGGTAGGATATAAAAATTTGCACAGTAGGTGCCGCTGTCAGTGCCCTTATGCCCGGCATCCCTCGATCATGAGATTGAAGGAGCCTGTTGGAAAATTCTTGGCCGAACAGAGTTGGCAGGCAATCAGCTGCCAGGAGTTTTGCTGTTGGGTAGCTGGAGCCAGATGAGGACTCTGAGAGACTAGCTCCCCATCAGGTCCACCTGAGCCTAAAAAAAGGTCC